TCAGTTCAAGTATATATTATATAGAAGTATAAAAACATGGAAAATTAATGTTCAATTTAATTTAGTGAATTTATCTCCAATTGACAAAATAAGTAAATAAATAGATTAAAAATGAGGTTAGGTTAAAGATGAGACATACAAAGAAGGATTTGCAAACAAGTGAAAATATTTTAGCAAACCCATAAATAAGCTCTAAATTTCATTCAAGGAAAAAATTGGTAAAAGTAATCAGTTCAAGGCATAGTAATAAAATTTTCTATCCTGTATATCTAAATAATTCTGAAATTTTTTCCCAACCACCTTAGAGCATCTCCAATGCACTAGGTATATAATGATTGTTAGGTAAAATGCCTAGTATGACTCACTTTTTTCAACTCCAATGCACTAGGCATGTAATTAGGCATTTTAGCTCAATTCACATTCACTAGCTACATGTAGCTAGCCTTCAAGGCTAGGCAAAATGTATTTAATCATTAGGATTATTTCCCTCCATCTTTGTTGCTAATGTGGCATTTTATAAAATTAATAGTATTTGGATGAATAGCTAAAATAAAGAGCATGGTTGGAGCAAAAACATGAAACAGTTGATAGGCAAAATAAAATGTACACTTTATAGTAATGTTTAGATAGGTAAAATGCCTATTACCGTTGGAGATGCTCTTAATAATACAAACTAGTAATCAACCCATGCAATGCACGGACGACATTTTTTTAGTTTTAAATACAGACACTTTTATAAAATAAAATTAATTCTTTTTACTATTTTAAACTGTATGTAGATATTTTTATAAAACAAAAATTACACATTGATTTTGAACGGCATAGTAATAAAATTTTCTATCCTGTATATCTAAATAATTCTGAAATTTTTTCCCAACCACCTTAATAATACAAACTAGTAATCAACCCATGCAATGCACGGACGGCATTTTTTTAGTTTTAAATACAGACACTTTTATAAAATAAAATTAATTCTTTTTACTATTTTAAACTGTATGTAGATATTTTTATAAAACAAAAATTACACATTGATTTTGAACAAACTACAAAAAGTGATTGTTAAAGGAAAGGCTCAAAAAAGAAAGAAAAAAAATAGAAAGCCTTAAATTTCAATTAATATTAAAATTTTACCATCGTTATTTCAAAATTATGATTTTTTATTAGTCATACTAAATGTTATATTGGTTTAATGAGTTCCATTTCATGAATAAGTCCACATATATTAAGTGAATTGCCTATTGAGGGCATTTGATAATATACACATAACTATCACTAAAATATTCTAATATTTTCCTAAATTTCATGAATTATTCATGTCAATTAGAGAATGAGGACTCATATTTGTTAAGCTTTTCAACATAAATTCCATTTTTTATTCAAAACTTGTTTTGAATTATTGATCAAAATAATACTAATATTTTTTACAAACACCTTCAAGGAAAAAATTCGATTCACCCATTTGTGGTTCATTTTGGAACACTTTACTCCTTATAATTAAAATATACGTAGAAGACCCACTTATAGTTTTGGACTAATTGTAAAATTAACTCTGTTAATGGTAAGAGGAAAATTACCTAAATATTCATATGCCATATTGTCCTTCTTTCATCTCTAATACATATAATTTTCTATCTTATCACATATTTAACAAATTAAATTATAAATTAATCTAAATACCTTAATTTATTATTATAAAATTAAACTTAATATAATTTTTATTTTTTAACCCAGTTTCTTATTTAATAGCATTTAAAATTATATATATATATATATATATATAAATATTTATATATTTAACAAACTAAATCATAAATTAACTTAAAAATTCAAATTTATTACCATAAAATAAAACGTTAATCTAATTTTTATTTTTTAACCTAATTTTTTATTTAATAACATCTTAAATTAAAGATATTGTACGGGGAACAAATATTCGTCATTTTCCGTACTCCTCGTGTCCAAGTTCCGCTTCCTTCTAAACAGCTTGAGAACACAAAGACGGTGAGCTACCCGGCGGTGTACTGTCGGAAAAAAACCCTCCGATGATCAAGTTAGCACCTTTTTAGAGAGAGAAAGAGAAATGCCACCAAAGAGAGAGCCCTGTGTGTAAGAAAACTCCAAACCTCTTCATGGAGGCACTACACAGTTTTAAATAGCCTCTGCACACACCACTCTGCTTGTGCTTTTCTGGACGCGTAGCTATACTGCACTCTCTATTCCTTACACGTGTACGCGTCAATACTGCCAAACAATATTTGGCCAAAACAGCCAAATGGTATTGACGCGTATTACTGGCGAGTTTTCCTCCTCGCACTCTGATTGGGCCGCGTAGCGGCTCCTGCCGTGCTACCCATAACACAGCATAAGGCCATTTACCAACTTCCATCAATCGGCTCGGCAATGAGTTGTCCAATCGATCAACTGCGGCTTAGCCAAATATTGCTCGGTCCATACAACGAACGGTGTCATTAGTTCAGATTATCCTTAGGTCGACCCATTCCACATGTGGTCCGATCCTTTGTTCGGTGTGAATTCCCTTCAATTGCACACATAGCTCGGCCTACACTTCTTGACCGAGCACTTACATAGCTCGGCCATTTTGCTCATTGGATTTTCCTCCCTCACATATATTGTAGGATAATTTTGACTATGGCTTATGATTTTTCCATTCCCCATTGGGTGACTCTAAATACACGTTATCTTTTTGTTGGACACCCCAACTTTAATCTTTTTTTTTTAAATACCATTTTATTAGGCTATCTTCAATGCTACACCAAATCCATCACCAAATTTAAATTTGGTGAAAAAGTATATTTTTTTTGTTACTCCAATGATTTCATCAAATAGATATCAAATTGAAAACATCAAAAATATTTCACAAAACTGAAGACTTTGTGTCTTTCATCAAATCATTGTTCACTGCAACCCTCTCTTCTTCTTCTCTCTCTCTCTCTCGGTAATGGTAGGTAATGGGGTTGAGGTTTTAGGGAAAGGAGTGGATGGGCAACATCAGAGAAGGAAGGGAACTAGCTGGCAAGAGTTGATGAAGGAAAAGAAAGGGACCACATGCCACGAAATGGGGCACTGGAGGTAGCTCCAGCGGCAAAGATAGCTTCTGCGATTAATTGGTGAATAAGGATAAATTTGGAATGATTTGGGATATTCAATAACAAAAAATCAAATTTTTGGTTGGGGTGTCTAAAGAATTGCGGTGCTCAATCAAAAAATCAGAGTACATTAAGATCTATCCTTTCCTATTCTCAATTTGGAAGAATGCGACACGGCATTTTCGTTACTTTTAAAAACAAAAACAGATGGTAGTATTTTAGTTCAAAATTATAAAAAGATTATCTATCTATATTTGAATTATAGAAAGTAAAATACTTCAAGTCGAAATTACAATAGGATAAAATAAATTTTATTTTATTTTTAAATTACAAAATATTTCAAAATCGAGAAATTATTTCTTAATCCCAAATCTTTGTCACCATACTTGAAGGTCAAGATGGAGATGTCAATTGATGTTTGAAAACCACACCATCCAAATATTAGCACAGTTACCATGATTTGGTGACACAGTTGATCCAGTCAAACCGGTCTACCTTTTTTTTTTTTTTTGGAACGATGAAACCAATCCATTAAATAACTCCAAGCCGATTTACCTTGATACCTCTACTTAATGTTTATTGTATTTGTTTAAGGCCAAAACAAAATTCAATGCTACACTTGACAGTGCTGACTCCAAATTGACATTGACATCAGCAGTATCATCCACCTCGTTAAAGCAACAAATCCTTATCACACACAATTTTCATATTTTTTTTAGAGGCGTTGATTAGAAGATATTTTTATATTTTACAAATTTCAAAAGAATCACGTTAAATTAGACTATCAACTATTTATAAAATCCAATAACACAAACTCATAAGTTCTACATAAACCAAAATACAAGAAATAACTCCATAATAAAAAAGAAACAAGTAAGAAAATAATTTCATAATAAGCAATAAATAAATAATTTAAGAAAAACTCGCTACATCTTTAACCTTTCGAACCCGATTAATTAACTCCATGTTTAACAGCAAGATTTGTGCACAAATATTTATTTGCATATTAGTTAGTATTTTTAACATTATTATCGTGAAAAAAAATCATTCTACAACTTGCTCAAAAATTAAACCAGTAGGGTGTTTGCCAAAACCACTGCATGCACTTCATTAATAGACCAAGATTCAACTCTCCTCATTTATTTTGTTTCTCCCTTTATATTTGTTTACTGGGTCATTCTAAAAGACACTCATATACAAATTATAACTGTCATAATTAAATGTCACAAATATAATTAAAAACTTTTTCAATCTTAACCAAAATAGTAAGATAATCAGCATTATAACAAGTTTTAAGCAAAAATCAGAAACATCATAACCGAAATATATGTATTATAGATTTTCCCTTGTTTATATTGTTGAATTTATTAGATAGTTGAATATCCAGTGATGATATTTATAAATTCGGATAAATTATAAATACATTCTCTAAAATTTAATTAAAATACAAATCGTCCCCTGTAATTTTAAAAATTACATTCACCCACTGAAGTTTCTAATTTCATAACATATCACTCTTTTATTAATAAATTATTAAGTCAATTAATAAGTTTTAATAATGTTAGAAATATGTTTCAATTAATAATTTAAATAAATTTATTATTTTATTAGAGAGCAATTATGAATTTTATTTTTTTAATTAATTCCATTAAATAAAAAATTCTGACAATAAAATATTTATAATTTTCTAAATTATAAGAAACAAACTGTACTTTAAACAAATCTCAAGACTTATAAATTCTCATACCAATTCACAAAAATATAAAACACAAAACTCACCTCCATAAAAAAAAAAAAAAAAATTAAAAAGAAAACGTGAAACCCATTTAGTAGTAAGAATTTAATACAGTATTTAATACATAGACGTGCACTAACGCACAAGAGTGGTTATATTCTTTGTTTTGGATCCATTTGGAGACATCTCTGTGAACTACCTTCCATTGATCTAGAACATTGACCCCCATCAAAGCACCTTTCTTCAGGTGGCCTCTCTATATAATGATCCTAACAAAACATGTGATCACAAAAACCCAATATCTTCAAGCTCTCCCACGGAATTCAGATACAGTTTTAACCCACAAATGGACATGAAAACGGAGCATAGTCGAGAAATAAAAGGTGACAACGACGACGATGATGCTTTCTACGCCGAACTCAGACGTCAGATTCTGATTCTGACTTCCGAGGATGATGATGATGCAGACTTACCGAGAAGCAAACATTCAAACCTAACAAGAGGTGCTAGAGAAGGCTCAAGCCCCAGATTCTCTGCTTCGCTAATACCCGGAAGTTATTTCAGTTGGTTGGAGAAGGAAAATACAAATACGAATGCTTGTGCTGTACCTGTCTGGCTTGTCAACCTGTGGAGATCTGGCAATGGGACGGGGGTGTTCATTCCTCATATTGTCAAATCCAGAAGACGAAGAAAAAAATCCGGTATGTTCTTCAATCCACAATGATTGTGGCATGTGTTCTCAAAATTTTCAGTAACTGACATCAATAATGATTTGCAGGAAAAAGATACAACAAACAAGCCAGTGGCATACAAGAATGAACACCTTTCCAATGTCAAAAGATGTGAAATTAAACCTTATTATGTATAAAATGTCAATACATAGTGACAATAAAAAAAAATATATATATATAGGCAATTCGTGTACTAACGATGATTATAATAATAAATCAGAACAGACTAGCATTTGCTAATCTGTATTTTCTAGAAGATAACAGATAATTGTTTTACAGATTTGAGGATGATTTGTGAAATTTCACAATAACCCAGAAATGTTCACTTGAGGCATTGTGAGGCATTTGAATTCATATTTGAAATTAAATGGGAATGCCCACGATATGGAAAAGTACACTAACAAGCATCTGAAGCATTAGTATTATCCAAATGTAGTTAATATTGCATTAGAAGGCTACAACATAGACTAAATTAATGTTGGCGACTCCTCAAAAACTACCTAAGAGTATGCACGGTTACTTCTCAGATACTATAATGTTTCTTCAAGCCGTGAACAACTAGCAAATTTCATGGTGCATTGCTTTCGATGGTTTTGTAATAGTGGCGATATAGCTGATTAGACACATCTGTCAGTCCTTGGGGCGTGCTAACCATAACGAACTGAGGGCACGTAAGCGTGACATGTAATCACCAATTACAAGAAGAGCACGAGCTGCTTGTCGAGTGGTCAAAATCCGGTGCATTTGTTGCAAAGTTTGTTGCCTCAGGAGGTCAGCCTAACCAAGGGGGAAAAAACACAGTTTATATATACCATTCCTTTAAGAAGAACAATGGGGCTGTTTGGTGCAAGTTTTGAAGTTGCTTATAACTTCTTTTTTATTTTGAAATTTTGTGTCAGAGTAGTTGGTACAACTTTCGCTTACAACATATGAAGTAGAAATAGCTTAAAAAAACTTGAAAAAATTTTGATTATTGGAAAACAAGGAGAAGGGTACTTTTAGCTTTTGTTTTCTAATTATCAACTTTTAGCTTACTGGAAGTTGCACCAAACAAGCCTAATATCTAAATTCTAAACATCAAATCGTATGAGCTAGATTGGTTACGCTTTTGAAATAAAACTTGATACCTGATGGAGGAAGTTCTCAAGCGTGGCAATTTTGCCCATTGCAATTGCCATTTGTCCCATGTAATCAGACACATTTCCCGAACCAGTAGGGCCCAGACAGTTGGAGGATAAAGTCTCAACAAGGGACTGTTGTAAAGCTTCCATCCCTTGAGACAAGGCATCCTCGGCTTGTTGGGAGGATTGCTGCAGATTACATATGCCCATCAGCTGTTGATCCGTTAAAGGTTCAAGATGGTTCCCAAGAATCTGAAATTCAACAAAATGAAATAAATAAATAAATGCAAATCACAATATTTGATTACCCTCGAAGTCAAACCATGTAACAGAAAATAACCTTGAGAAGTTCGGATGAACGAAAACCACCAAGCCACATGAAGCACCTCTCCACGGGAGTTTTCCACATGCCAGAAAGCATGTGAAATACATCAGATTTTGCACCAATACCTTTTAGCCTGAATATATCATCATAATGTGACATTACTCCGTCAACAAGAAGGCGTAGTTCATTATCACCCACGTTAGAATTTACAGCTGATCTAAGATCATTGATCAATCGTTGATGTTCATCAAGCCATCGTGTGTAATCCATGTCAAATGCCAAGGCCCCTGTTCACATTCCATATCATCAAACTGTTAGTTTCTAAATAAAAATTAATTCAATATTTGACAAACAAAACAATCTTGGATAAGGGTGTGAATATGTCACTTCATAGAATGGAAATACCACCACCGAATATAGGATACTATGCTATTGGGTTGACGCCAAGTAAAATACAAGATACAATATTGGAAAATGCTAGAAGTCCCAAAATTTCTACCAAATGTTTTACCAAATATCTCATGGATATGGTGGACCCACCCCATGTGAGACATTTGGTATAACATTTGGTAAAAATTTTGGTATCTATGGCATTACTCTACAATATTTATCCATCTGGTCCCTTGGAGCATACTTGTATTAATTTTGCAAATAGAACTGAAATCGGAAAGTTAGAACCAATGTTCTTGAAAATCACATAGGCATAAAGGCTTGCAAACAATTTCTCATTCACAACAACCAGACAAATAGAATATACATTGTCACTCTATTGCATGGACTCAAGTATGAGTGTCAGATGTGGATGTGGATGTGTCCCAGTGTCAGATACATCTAATTCTCGTGTCCAAGAACATGACGACACAGCTATATTTCATCTCTCTTAAATACTGTTAAAATTGATGTATGTATTATTCATTGATGTGTTACAAGATTGTTGTATATATATTTTGTACAAGAATTCCTATTATATAGGAGATGATTCTGGAGTAGGTGAGGAGTGAGTGGTGGAGGTAGGTTTGGTGGAGTGTAGTAGGTGATAGGAGTAGTAGGTGGAGGTAGGTTTGGTGGTAGGTGTAATAGTAATTTACATTTACATTAACAGCCCCCCTCAAACTCAAGGAGGATAGGTACTAGCCAACTTGAGTTTGGAGAGAGTAACAAAACAGAAAAGTAAACTGATAAATAAAATGAAACAGGATAGGAGACACGGTATGGTCGTGTCAGACCGATGTAGAAGACAGTTTATGGGGTCATGTCGGACCGACGTATAAGTCAGTTTATGGGGTCATGTCGGACCGTTGGAGCAGACAGTTTACGGGGTCATGTCGGACCGTTGTTGAAGACAGTTTTCGGGGTCATGTCGGACCGTTGTAGCAGACACTGTGTGGTCGTGTCAGACCGATGTAGAAAACAGTTTATGGGGTCATGTCGGACCGTTGTAGAAGACAGTTTACGGGGTCATGTCGGACCGTTGTAGAAGACAGTTTACGGGGTCATGTCGGACCGATGTAGAAGGACAGTTTACGGGGTCATATCGGACCGTTGTAGAAGACAGTTTACGGGGTCATGTCCGACCGTTGTAGAAGGACAGTTTACGGGGTCATGTTGGACCGTTGTAGAAGACAGTTTACGGGGTCATGTCCGACCGTTGTAGAAGGACAGTTTACGGGGTCATGTTGGACCGTTGTAGAAGACAGTTTACGGGGTCATGTCCGACCGTTGTAGAAGGACAGTTTACGGGGTCATGTTGGACCGTTGTAGAAGACAGTTTACGGGGTCATGTCGGACCGATGTAGAAGGACAGTTTACGGGGTCATATCGGACCGTTGTAGAAGACAGTTTACGGGGTCATGTCCGACCGTTGTAGAAGGACAGTTTACGGGGTCATGTCGGACCGATGTAGAAGGACAGTTTACGGGGTCATATCGGACCGTTGTAGAAGACAGTTTACGGGGTCATGTCCGACCGTTGTAGAAGGACAGTTTACGGGGTCATGTCGGACCGATGTAGAAGGACAGTTTACGGGGTCATATCGGACCGTTGTAGAAGACAGTTTACGGGGTCATGTCCGACCGTTGTAGAAGGACAGTTTACGGGGTCATGTCGGACCGATGTAGAAGGACAGTTTACGGGGTCATATCGGACCGTTGTAGAAGACAGTTTACGGGGTCATGTCCGACCGTTGTAGAAGGACAGTTTACGGGGTCATGTCGGACCGATGTAGAAGGACAGTTTACGGGGTCATATCGGACCGTTGTAGAAGACAGTTTACGGGGTCATGTCCGACCGTTGTAGAAGGACAGTTTACGGGGTCATGTCGGACCGATGTAGAAGGACAGTTTACGGGGTCATATCGGACCGTTGATGTTCCGATTTGGAGGTCCGCCATATGCTGCAGTGGAGGAGTATGGGGGAGTGAACGTGCTCGGCGGCGTGGAAAACACGGAGGCAGTACCGTCAAGGGCCGTCCAGGACGGAGGCAAAAAGAAGAGACCGGCGACAGAGTAGAGAAGAAAAATCCCGCCGGTGGATGTGGTTGTTTTGTTTGTTGTTTTTGTGTTTTTGTGTTTTTTTTTTTTTTTTTTTTTTTTTTTAAAAATGGAAGGGGGGAGATGAATAAAAATGGATGTTGTGCAAATTTGTAAATTGATTGGTTTTTTTTGTTTTTTTTTTTTTTTTTTAAGAAAGAAGATAAAATAAAAAATAAATGAGTGGAGAAGGGTGGTGTGTAAAGTTTGAAATGTAATGATGAAATGTGTGTGCGCCGCGTGAAGCAAAGCATCTAATAGCCCACTGTTTGTGAAAACTGGCAATGGTTTTTTTTTTTTTTTTTTTTTTTTGGTAAGATCAAAAGTGACAGACAAAAGTGGGGCGGTGGCCAGACAAAAAAAAGAGGGTTTGTGTCTGTGGCCAGACAAAAGTTGCCGGATGGTGTATCATGGAATGGTGGATCACAGAGTGTTTAACAAAAAATAAAATAAAAGAAGGTTGGATGGAGAAATTAATAAAATAAAATAAAATAAAAGAATAATGGGTTTGTGGAGGAGACACACATGGATGGGTTCTGTGAAGATGTTTTCCTCATGGATGGGTTCTGAGAAAGCCTGTTCAGAGACTTCCTTTGGAAATGGGTGTTAACCTTTCTGGTCATTAACAACAGGCATTAAAACACTCTCTAATCTCTCCTGTTTGATCGTGAGAAAGAAGAGTGAAAAAAAGAGAGATTTGCAGAGAAGAGAGAGTGTGAATCTTTGAGGCTTGTTGTGGTGTGCAAAGCTTATTACCTTCCCGATGAAAAACTCTCAACCTCTTTTCATTCACTGCAGTAGTGCACTGCCAAAACTGGCAAGGATGGAAGGAGAGAGAAAATTGAGAGAGAAAAGAGAGTGAGAGAGAGTGTGGAGAGAGAAGCCATCGGAGAGAATATAGATGCAGAGGGAAGTGAACACTAGATACCACTCCACTGTTGTTAGAGGATTTGATGAACATAGCGGTTCACAAACTATCTGGAAGAACAGTTTCATTCCACAATCTGCTCAGCAGAGAGCGGAAGCGCAGGCTCAGGAAGCCACGGCGGCGTCACTTCAGGCTCAGCTTCAGCAAGTCATAACGGGCGGCGGCGCATAGCCGGAGGACGCCGAGTTGGCTTACATTGATCCAGACCGAGTCGAGGTGGCGAGTGGACCAAGTTGCAAGGCGTGTCGGGAACGAGTTGCTTCGGTGGGTGTATTGCCGTGTCGGCACCTGTCTGTGTAGAGAATGTGGTGCCATGGCTCAAGCTTGTCCTGTCTGTCTCTCTGTCAGGGAGTATGTTGCCGCCGTTGATGGCGAAGAACTCGAAGCTATGTGCAAAAAAAAAAAATTCCAGCGGGCAGCGAAGGCAAAGTTGCCGGCCGGCTGCCCGTCGGTGAGAAAGAAATACAGGCCTAAATCTTATAGCTCTGATACCATGTTAAAATTGATGTATGTATTATTCATTGATGTGTTACAAGATTGTTGTATATATATTTTGTACAAGAATTCCTATTATATAGGAGATGATTCTGGAGTAGGTGAGGAGTGAATGGTGGAGGTAGGTTTGGTGGAGTGTAGTAGGTGATAGGAGTAGTAGGTGGAGGTAGGTTTGGTGGTAGGTGTAGTAGTAATTTACATTTACATTTAAATTATTTTCTCAGGGTAAAATGGTGTTTACAAACTAAAACAGAGCATTCTATACATAAAATGAAGTCTTATGCATTGTTATTTAGTAGACTCGGCTACTTGTAACGGTGCATGTCCAACTCAAGATGTATTATCATATATCCCATACCCTTGCCCATGTGTCAAGTAAGCTTCACAAATTTAGAAGAATCCATCACTTTAACATAAAGTAGTCACAGTACCATACAACAAAATACTACAGCACCTAACAATGAGTTTGCTCTTGCTCGACCATTCAGATTGCAGTAAATATATACGTTGCAATTGAGTTAAATGTTGTAGTGCAACAAAGAGCAGCATTAACAAAATTAACCATTTTCCCATCAAATATACTATCAAACAAGACCTCTCAGCCTTTTTTTAACTAGTATTATAATGTTGTTTTCACATGTAAAATTTGTGAAATCAAGTCCCTCGTTGCCAAAGGACTAAAGTAATATGAAGTAACATGGTATCAAAGACCATGTAACATGGTATCAAGTCCCTCATTGCCCTCACCTCAATATCTAGCTTTTGAGGTTGGGTTCTACCCAAGACCATGTAACATGGTATCAAAGCCGGAGTACCTAGGGATGGGTAGAGTGCGTGTCCTTGGCTTGCAAAGGGAAAGTGTTGCCGAGCGAGCACGCATGCTGCACTCAAGATCGTGTAATAATATTTACATCAAACTATACAATATTTCCCTTGAACAAGGGGGGTAATTGCTAGGGGATTCACAAAGCAAGCCAGGTCCAGTCCTCATCTGATCTGAACTTTCTAGGATGATATCACTATGTCAAGTAGAGATTGTACTTGTATGTTTTGGATTGTATATGAATTTCATCAAACTGAAATCAACTGCAGTGGTGATCTTGAATCATCAAACAAAACCTACTGCTTTTCTTTTCCCAAAGGAACCAAAGACCTCTACAACACCAGTTCCCAATGGACCAAGAACAAGCTAAAGGCATATATGGAGCAAACACTGAAACTGTGCTGAAAGCACCATATGTTACATCCAGAGTAAACTGAACCAACAGTTAGTTGGATAGTATCCCCGTTGAAGATTTTTTACAAAATCATAAGCACAATCTGAAGCTCGCAGTCTGAAACAGGACCATTTATACAATTTGAGTAAACTCCAAAACAATTTCATCTAGTGTTTGTCACCAGTCCACTCATACTTCCATGAATAATACGAACAAAATTGGAGATAAAGGACACCCTATTTCAGACCCTTGGTCCATTTATCCAATACAAGAACATTGTTGGACTCCTCTTCACATGCACTGAGAACCCAAATGCATTTTCAAATTCCAGAAGTTCAAAAACTATGGAAGCATTATTAAGCCATTAAATCATTAAGAACTCTCAGGCTATGTTTGGATCTTGCTACTTATAATATAGAGGAATCCTAAAGGTTCCTAAAGAGGTAAAAAAAATTAAGACAAACTTTTCAGTTCTTTCATTCAGACAAATATAGGAATTACAACCACTACTGCCAGCATCAACAGCTTTTGCAAATACTAAAAGACTATATAATGCTGCCTATTTCCAGAACCATGCAGTAATTCAAAAAGACATCGTCTACAATTTCTTCAGTATTAGGTTCAAAGAGCCTTGCTAAACCTGTCCAAAAAGTGACTATCACAAAATCAAACTAGCAATGCTGAAAGTACCAGACCCTTAACCATAGCCATACACTATTGCTATTGACATGAAATTTAAGATACGCCTTTCTTAGCACTCTTGACTAAATGGCTGCATTACCAACATGGGACCTCAATACACATTTTTACAACTTAATAATGTAGATGGATGTTCTGACAGTATTCTGAGAACTACAGCCTGATTCACATCATGTTTGTCCCATTTTCCTTACCTCATCCCACATCATCATGATCTGACAGTATTCTATGAACTACATAAAGCATCCTATCAAAAGAACTCAAGAGAGCAGCCAATACAGGTTTCTTCATGTCACTGGAAAACAGGTGGTTCTAATATATACACACACACACACACACATAACGCATGCATATAGAGGTAGGAAGAGGATTGACAAAATCTATACGTAAATCTGACACATGATCAAGATCTGGCATCACTACTTAATAAAGATGAACTTTTTTGTATGTGGCGTACTCATTATATCATATTGCATCTAAAAGGCTACCAAATCAATGAAAAGTTCAGCATGATCACATAACTTAAGTCCCCAACAAAGATGGCAAGACTGATACTTGGACAGAACTAGTAAAACAAGTGAAATGTGCTACGTCGTATAATTTTCCTTTAGAGTTGCCAAGATCTTAATAAAACTAAAGGGTGCCTGACAGCTACTTAATTATCTAAATAAACCAAGCCTTATTTTGAGAACACTTACCGTTATAGCTTTTGTTCATTAGCTGTAGAAGGATAACTCGTGTCAACTTATTACCAAAGCCTAAAGTTTTCCAACAACCAAAGAATATGCATGTAAATTTGCTCACCATTACTACCCATCGAGTGATACTGATCTCCAGATAATCCCGATGCAATAAAAATACCCTACATTAAAATGAAAATTTTTGATAATAAATTTCTGGGAAAAAAATATTGTGTACAGGCAACAAGAAATGCATATCAACAAATGTCATTTTAAGAAATGCATGGAAATTGAAGAGGATAACCTAGAATGAACCCAAGAAAAGTGCATTGTAAAACTAAACTACATAACAAATCTGTAAACGACCATATTAAAGTTTTTCTTAACTTTGTCAGTTATTGTTTATGCACCTTACACAATTTTAGGAAAGGGGGGATTCTTCTCAAAATAGTAATTATTAGTGCTACCAATTAAACCTGTTACTGATTTCCGTTCAAGGGTCAGTAAAAGCATCCTAGGGTTCTTACGTGTATCATCCATCATTTGTTGCTTTATCAAACAATGGATCATGCATTAACCTATATATCATGACACTTCAAATTTTATCTTCCAGATCATAAACCAACCCTTGTACACATCATGCACAATTGGTAGTGTTTGATCTATACAAAAGAGTCATTCATTGGATATCAAATATGTAACACACACAAAAAAAAAAAAAAAGACCTGCTGACGTGCTCGTTGAAGCTCCTGCTCTAGTCGTGTAAGCTTCAGCCGACTATGCTCCAGCTGTTGAACATATGCCTATGCAAAACCACAACCTATGAATGATTCCATGTTCTTAATATGTTAATCATAATTCAACAACCAAAACAAGATTAAAATTCCATGTATCTATTTGAAGTACATCTCATGAATACAATATGCACATGATACTATGAAGCATAGACACGGGACATGGATACGAACAACATGGCATGGACGCGTCGACAAGTCCAAACCATTACTTTCTTACTTAATTGACTTATAAGGAGCACAGGAAACTAAGAGAGGATGAAATGCATTACTTTCTTCCTTAATCGACTTTTTCGAGCAGCTTCTCGATTCTGTGCCAATCGACGAAGTGACTGCAATGAAGTTAACCAAAAAAAAAACACAAGCTAAATATTCAAACACAAAAATTAAACCGTACAACAAACTGCCACAACAGTAACATCTAGTCAACACAACCTTCTGGTCTCCTGTTCTTCCCTCGGATTGATCCATTGAATCCACAGCTACAAGTGCTCCATGCTGAACTCCATAGGACTATAACACAATAAATAAATAAATCCATAAGAACTATCCTCTAAGAGCTCACCGGCTTATTTATCAATTATTACATTGCCACCAATAAGACTAAATTGCATTATTTAATTTCTTTGACAGATGTGAAGTCACTGAATTTTCAGTAAATTTCAATCTGAATATTTCAGTTGCAAACTCTGTTATTAGAGTTGTACGATTCGTGATTCGAATTGTACAATTCAATTCGATTCAGTGGGTAATCGATACAAACAGGTTGTGTGAACCACAAATAGCTATGAATCGTAGGTGAATCGGTGAAGCGTGAATTGCTAAAATCGAGGTTTGGCTTTCTTTTTTGCTTTTTTATTGTTGGAGAAAGGTTCACACAACATTTTTAAGGTCTTTAGAATTACTATATGCCATCTTTTAACTTTCTACCTCCCCATTTACTCTCAAATACTAAAACCTTAGAGGAAAAAAATGAACTTTCTCTCTCTACAATATTCTAGGTTTACATATTTAATTTTATCTAAGTACTTGTATCTATAAAATGAATTTTTTTAAGGCATCAAGTGAAATTTTAGAAAAAAATTTGAAGATTTTGATTTTTTAAACTTGTTAAAAGTTAAAAAGCATTGTTGTTGAGTTATTCTTGCTAGGAAATTGAAAGTTTGTCTTTGTTTGTTCTTCTTTATTAAGAATGTTTGATAAAAAATAATATGTAAAAGGGAAAATGTGAAGTGGTAAATATGAAAACCCGTGTTAATTTCTTACCTAGACCACATGATCATTATTTAAAACAATATTTTGATTGATTTAAGTCTAAATATTTTATATTTCTTGGTGAATTTAATATCTAAGTGTGTAAATATATATTTTTCTATCTAATTTAAAAAAGACGACCGAATATTCACAACAATACCACTTCGATTCACAATTTGAATCCCAGATTTGACAACTAAATAAATAGATCAACCCATTGATAAATTGCAGATATTGGACCCACAGACATGTTTTATAATGACCTTGAGCAAATGCATCACTAAAATGATTAGTTTGGCAATGAAATAGTTGGATTAAATGCCAATGAAATGCTAATTTACAATTTCAATATGGAAAGAGGAGAGAGAAAAGAAAGACCTGGTTTTTGTCATCAGTGTCAACATCTGTGGAAGTGTCAGTCTGTTGGCTGTTGTCAGCCATTCCAGAATCTCCCCAGTTCTCAAAATTCCCATTTCCCAAACACCCACCACCACTCACCACCATTGTAGTCCCCTTCTGCATCATGAACTGGCCTGTTTCCACCCCTGTTCCTATTGAACCCAGCTGCCTCGAACTAATATTCTACACACCACAAATTGAATTACACACATATATATCAAACAGAGAGAGAGAGAGAGGGGTTGGTGGGTAGGGATTAAATACCGTGCTCAGACCCCCAAATTGCAAGTTATTAGAAAGAATAGCAATATTGCTTGGCTTCATATTGAATATGGAGCCTACAGAGAATTGATGAGTACAGAGTAATTAGACAAAGACGAAGGGTAAGAGATAGAAAATAGAGAGAGAGAGAGAGAGAGAGCATTACTTCGGCTTAAATCAACAGCATCGTCGTGATGAAAAGCAGCCGATTGATCAAGCTCTCCAAGATCCGCAAAACGCATATTGTTTCTAGCATTTTCATCACCTCTGTTTCATCACAAAAAAAAAAAAAATACACAAGCACACACCCTCAAAATTCACAATCAGCTTCACAAACAAAAAAAAAAAAAAAAAAAAAAAAAAAAAAAAAAAAAAAAAAAAAAAACACCACCTTAAGTAGGAGGAGGAGTGGCAATACATATCAGAGTTAGTAGGAGCTGCCACTGTTTTGAAGTCCTGCATCTCTCTCTATTCTCTCCCTCTCTACTCTCTCTCTCTCTTTATATGCAACAGAAATATGCTGCTGAAAGAGATTCGATAGAGAGATGGAGAGAGAGAGAGGGGGGAGGGAGGGGGTTTTGGAGAGAGAAAGGGAGAACAAATCCTGAAGCTATCTTTTTCAGCAGAGCTGCGTATCAGTACGACTCTGATTTTAAATTTTTCACGTCAGAGAGAGAAAATTTAAATTTTTTTTTTGTTAATAAATTAGTATTATTGGTTTTGTCTGAATCAGACCTGACCTTTATAAAGGCATTTTAGTTTCCCGATACACCTATATCCAGGGCACAGACCTCCATTCTCAAGACCAATCCCTCCCATTCTCTATCACAGAGCGTTTTCTTCACTTTCCAATAAACAAGTGCTCCTGTTTTACGGTATTGCAGATTGGTTGATTGGTAAAATTATCGGTTGCTCATGCGTCACGTAATCAGATCTTACCTCGTGGAAATTAAGTATTTTAGTAGATTATTTTAATTTTTAATTATTTTAAGGGGTTAAAATTTTTGTATTTAAAAAGATAGTTAGATTTTTTATACTCTCTTCATCCCATAATATTAGTCCCTTATTCTATTTTTTATTGTTTCAAAATATTAGTCCCTCTTCAAAAATCAAGTACAAAAATAATATAAATTTCCAATTTTGCCCTTCTTTTAAATTCATAAATAATATAAAAAGTACAATTATGACATTGGGTATGTTTGGTTTGTGTTTGAGAGATGTGTTTTAGAGATAAAAAGTACGAAAAGTTGTTTGGTTTGGTTTTTTTCAAAAGATGTTTTGGAAAATTATTTTGAGAGAGAGTTTTGGAAAAAGTGATTGATTTGATGTGTGTGTGTGAGAGATTTGTTTGGAAAACTTGTTTGGTTTACAAGTTTTGAGAAATTTTTTTGAAAAAATTTGTTTGGTTTGATTACTTTTAAAAACTTATTTGTAGAGAAAATTTCCCAAAATTTTTTCAGAAATACAAACCAAACGAACCCATTGATATTCTCAAAAAAGTGTACTATCAAAGGGTAATTTTGGAAAACTAACTTTTTAAAAGTACAATAATTGTACTACCAAAAAAAGTTGGATTCCCCAAAAGGGACCATTATTTTGGGACGGAGGGAGTAATTGGATATAATGTTTGTGAGAGAAAAAGTGAAATGAATATAGATTTGATGTGACATTTTGTCTTATTGATTATTGAGAGCTTTTTTGATAAATCATTTTTCTAAGAGTTTTATTCCATCCAATCCATATTTTTTTTTGACTATTCCATTAGACCCTATTTGAGGTAAAAAGACCAAAATACCCTTTTCATCTACTTATATTTCATTTAGTCCACATTATTTTCTTATATTTCAATAAGTCCTATGGGTGACATAATTACCAAAATACCCCTAATGCGAATGTTCACATCGTCAATGTGAATGTTCACACCGTCAATGTAAATGTTCCTATTTGAGGTAAGAAGACGAAAATACCCTTTTCATCTACTTATGTTCCATTTAGTCCACATTATTTTCTTATGTTTCAATAAGTCCTATGGGTTACATAATTACCAAAATACCCATAATGTGAATGTTCACATCATATGGGTGACGTAATTACCAAAATACCCCTAATGTGAATGTTCACATCGTCAATGTGAATGTTCACACTGTCAATATGAATGTTCACACCGTCAATGTGAATGTTCCTATTTGAGGTAAGAAGACCAAAATACCGTTTTCATCTACTTATGTTCCATTTAGTCCACATTATTTTCTTATGTTTCAATAAGTCCTATGGGTGACATAATTACCAAAATATCCCTAATGTGAATGTTCACATCCTATGGGTGACATAATTACCAAAATACCCCTAACGTGAATGTTCATATCGTCAATGTGAATGTTCACACCGTCAATGTAAATGCTCACACTGTCAATGTAAATGTTTACACCGTCAATGTGAATGTTCATATCGTCAATGTGTAGGGGCTTGGCCCAGCCCAGGCCGAGGCCAACCCATGTAAAGCCTCGTGGGTGCTTGCCAAAATTCGGGCCGGGCCGGACCGACCCACGGGCCAAAAAATTAGGCCTAGGCCCTAGCCCTAGCACAAAGGTATTCAAGCTTTAGATGCCCCAGTGGGTCGAGCCAAGGGACTTGGGCCTAGACTTGGGCTTGGGTCGAGCTTGGGTGAGCCTCGCCATTTTTTTTAATTTTTTTAATTTTTTCTCCTAAAATTTTATTATTTTCAACAAAAGACACCGGGCCTCTGGCGGGCCGGGCCTCGGGCCAAGCCTTAAATGGGCCTTATGCGGGTCGAGCTTCAAAGTGATGGCCCAGGTCCTACCATAAGTTCTCAGGCTGGGCTCGGGCCCGGGCCCGAGCCCAAACGAGCTCGCCCCAGGCCGCAAGAGGGCTTCGGGTGGCCCACGAGTCGTGGGCCAATTTTACACTCCTATCAATGTAAATATTAACATGTCAATGTGAATATTCACATTGTCAACAAGTCGAACCCGCTCCGGGCCGCGGGCCAATTTTACACTCCTATCAATGTTAATGTTAATGTGTCAATGTGAATATTCACATTGTAAACGGGCCGGGCCTACAGGCGGGGTTTCAGGCCGCCTACGGGCCGCGGGTCAATTTTACACTTCTATCAACGTGAATGTTAATATATTAATGTGAATATTCACATTGTCAACGAGCCGGGCTAGACCCGTCGCGGGCGGGTTTTGGGCCGCCCACGGGCCACGGACCAATTTTACACTTCTATCAATGTGAATGTTAACATGTCAATGTGAATATTCACATTGTCAATAGACCAGGCCCGCCCCGGCCCAGATGGGAGCTTCGGACTGCCCACGGACCACGGGCCAATTTTACATTCTTACCAATGTGAATGTTAAAATATGAATATTTACAGTCCACTCCCCCTTGGGCAACGGGCAGGCTTCGGGCAGCCCATGGGCCGCGGGCCAATTTTACACTCCTATCAATGTGAATGTTAACATGCCAATATGAATATTCACATTGTAAACGGGCCGGGCCGGGCTCGCGGACAGGTTTCGGGCCGCCCACGGGCTGCGAGCCAATTTTACACTCCTATCAATATGAATGTTAACATGTCAATGTAAATATTCACATTATAAACGGGCCGGGCAGGGCCCGTGGACGGGTTTCGGGCCACGGGTCAATTTTACACTCCTATCAACGTGAATTTTAATATGCTAATGTGAATATTCACATTGTCAACGGACCGGGCCCGCCCCCGCCCAGGGGCGATATTCAGACTGCCCACGGGCCACGGGTCAATTTTACATTCTTACCAATGTGAATGTTAAAATATGAATATTTACAGCCCGTCCCGCCCCGGGCAA